CGTACCAGGTACACTCCCCCAGATCTTTCACCGGAACCTTCTTGTTGAGGGAAGCGAACAACTCCACTCACTCTCCCTCGTCTGCCGCCACTAAGATGTCATCAACGTAGATCACGATGNCTACTTTGTTGTCAGCGTAGCTGGCATCGACAAGCACGCTTAGGTCTAGTCCTGACCCCCGTGCGTAGGTGATGCCGAAGTCCTTCGTGAAGTTCAGGTAGGACATGATCCGCACAAGCGCGTTCCATCTCCTCCCGGTGGGTGAGTGGGCGATCTTCTGGGGCTTGTTCAGAGGCAGGGCGATGTCTGGCTTCGTCGGCTTCGTCCACATCAGGCATCCGATCGCCTCCCTCACAGGCTTATCCACCGCGAGCTCGTCATCTCTCTTCGGTCCTCGGTCGGCATCGGTGGCAGCAGGGGTGAAAGCGGTCGTGGTCACATCAAACCGCTTCAGCATACTCTCAATGTGTGCTGTCTGGGACAGCTTGGTGATGCCATTTTCTACATCCATGGCGATATCACACCCGTCGTACCAGGTACACTCCCCCAGATCTTTCACCGGAACCTTCTTGTTGAGGGAAGCGAACAACTCCACTCACTCTCCCTCGTCTGCCGCCACTAAGATGTCATCAACGTAGATCACGATGAGACCTACGACCTCTCCATCCACCACCNGCGGTCGTGGTCACATCAAACCGCTTCAGCATACTCTCAATGTGTGCTGTCTGGGACAGCTTGATGATGCCATTTTCTACATCCATGGCGATATCACACCCGTCGTACCAGGTACACTCCCCCAGATCTTTCACCGGAACCTTCTTGTTGAGGGAAGCGAACAACTCCACTCACTCTCCCTCGTCTGCCGCCACTAAGATGTCATCAACGTAGATCACGATGAGACCTACGACCTCTCCATCCACCACCTTCCGGACGACACACGGTTCGACCTTGCACTGCTCGTATCCATTCTCGATGAGGGCATCGGCAGCTTCAAACCCCCACTCATGGCCACTCTGCTTTAGGCCATACAGGGCACGCTTAACCTTGACCACCTTGCCGGACATGCTACCACAGCCTTCCGGGAACCTAAGGTATATTTCTTCTTTTAGCTTAGCGTTGATGTACGCTTGCTTCACATTCCAGTGAGCGAGCATCTTGCCCTTTTCAGTGGCTACGGCAATCACCGTGTTGATAGACGCTGCAGACGGGCACGCTGAGGATGAGTGGTGGAAGTCGATGCCGGGGATTCGAGAGAAACCCCGCGCAACCATACGGGCCTTGAAGTCTACTATGAGGCCCTTCTCCTTCGTCTTCCAAGAGAACACCCACTTTGAACCTATGGCCTTCCGCCCCTCGGGCAGCTCCTTGACCTTGGTAAAGGTTCCAGTCTTGTCGTGGCCATCTATCTCTTTCTTCATGGCCGCCTCCCAGAAAACCTTGTACTTGGAACACATCACATCCTTGTACGTCATCGGTACTGCTTCCACATCACTCGGCTTCTGCCCGATTGGCGAGGTCATACTTAGCTGTGGGTCTGGGAGTGGTTAGGGTTAGGGTTGCGAAGACCCGCTGGCGTCGACCTCGGCCCCGAACGCCTGCTGTTCCGGGCTCAACACCTCCTGCATCTCGCGCCTGTACATCTCCTCCATACGGCGTGTCTGCTCCTCGTCCCACTGCTCCTTCACAAGCGAGTTGCAGATGTAGTCCTCAACAATCCCCGTCCCGCCAGTTTCCAGGATGGTCGCGAGCAATGCCTCTTCCGGGTCCGGTGTTTCTCCGGGCCCCGGCATCTCCCCGGCACCTTGCATCTCCCGGGTCTTCTTCCGCGTGCGGGCACTATCAAGCCCATGGTGCAGCGGGCCAGTATTCGAGGCGCCCCAGAGGAGTTTCTTCCCTTCTATCTAGCCCGCGGGGGTAGCGGTCGTCGGCTGGGTCATACTTCAACTCAACGAGGTTCTCGCCGGGATCACCATCGCGACCGCCGTCCCCACCTGGGTCCCCGGACACTTCGCCGCCCGGGCCGCCGGCACCGCCGGCGTCACTGCTGCTGCTGCTCNCTCGGGCTGCTGCTGCTGCTGCTGCTGCTGCTGCTGCTGCTGCTGCTGCTGCTGCTGCTGCTGCTGCTGCTACTGTCGGTGGGGCTGTCACTGCCTCCGCCGAAGTCGCCCCTTCCCGAAGGGGGTGACGGGGGAACGCTGCCTCCATGCCCCGGAATCCCGTTGCCGGGAGCCGTCGGCGCCTCCTCGCGCACAACGGCGTCGCTTGCCCTGGCCCACGAGCCTCCATCACATCGAGGTCGGACTCAATCTCTGAGTCTCTCTCCCCCCCCCAACCTTGGCGTGATGCATCCGCTCTGCTCTCGCCCTGCCCGCCCTCCTCGTCATCTGCGAGAGGTAGCAGCTGTGGGGGAGCGGGCGATGCAGCGGGCACGTGGCGCCAGGTGAAATTGTGGGCGGTGATTACGGTTCCAGCTTCGGTTAGCATGCGAACGCAGTCACGGGGGTGATTATGGGCAGCACCAAGGTACCATCCTTTTTCGCCCTTGAGTTGCGACTTTGCATTTCTTCTCGACTTGAACACGACTGGTTTGAGAAACCGGTATGTATGTAGACCCGACAGGCGGTGGGGAGTCGTGGAACATCTCGTAGGCGGATTTGTCTCCCTCGTTTGATTTGGTGGCGGCGCAGTTCAGCTGATGGCATGCACACGAAGTGGCCTCGGCCCATAACCCGGGGCGGTTCGGTGCGTCGGGGAACAGTTGCGTCGCTTGGATGCGTGACGCAAGCGCGGCATCAGTCAACCCTAGCGCTCTCTCCGCTACACGGTTGTATTTTGGGGTGTGAGGGGGGGTGAACTCTTGTTTGATGCCGTGTCTGCGGTAAACTTCCGCAAACTGCCCGTGGAACTCGCTGCCACCGTCGGTACGTGCGATATAAACCTCACACGGAACCCCTTTCGTTCGGTAGTCCGCCAGGAACTTCTCAAACCCAACCGCTGCGTCAGACTTGTGTTTCAAGAAGAAAACACGCGTCCAACGGGAGAAATCGTCTCTGATGATCAGTGTGTACCAGTTGCCACCAATGCTCCTGGTTTTCATCTTTCCCCCCAAGTCGAGATACACGCGAAATGACTTCTTACCTGCGCGTGTGCTCGTGCTCTTCTGGACGGGTTTCACTTGTCCCTTGGACATCGACAGCCAAGACAGGGTAGCAGTGGTCCATCCGTCAGCTGCACTCCCTGCTTCTCCGCCGTGATCCTGAGCAATGTCTCGTGGGCATGGCCGTGCGCGAGGTGGTACTCGTTGAGGTCAGTGGGGTGGCTGCTTTCGCATCGCCAGGAACAATGATTGCGGCACAAGCGGTGTGTATTGTTGACAATGATAGCCTCGTTGGGTCAGCAGCTTTCCAGTCCGGGGTATCAACACCTCCCCCCCGGCTTTCATGGTCAGCGTGAGGCCCCCCTTCATCCCCAGATACATGTGGCCCTCCTCCGCCAACGAAGACAGCGAGAGGAGGTTGTAGGGGGCCTCTGGAACATGGGAAGCATTCAGTACTAATGCGGGTACTCCACCATCTTCCGCCTGTAGGACTAAGGTCACATCTCCGTATCCTAGAAGGGGAACGGGGGCCTNCTGCTTTCGCATCGCCAGGAACAATGATTGCGGCACAAGCGGTGTGTATTGTTGACAATGATAGCCTCGTTGGGTCAGCAGCTTTCCAGTCCGGGGTATCAACACCTCCCCCCCGGCTTTCATGGTCAGCGTGAGGCCCCCCTTCATCCCCAGATACATGTGGCCCTCCTCCGCCAACGAAGACAGCGAGAGGAGGTTGTAGGGGGCCTCTGGAACATGGGAAGCATTCAGTACTAATGCGGGTACTCCACCATCTTCCGCCTGTAGGACTAAGGTCACATCTCCGTATCCTAGAAGGGGAACGGGGGCCTTGTCGCCTCCGATCCCCTTCACCCAATCGCTACGCTCACGGTAGTTCACGAGGTTGTCTGCACATCGGAACATGGAGCACGTGGCCGTTGTGTCGGCCACGTACACCGCCTGGCCCTGTTCCACAACCCCCACTAAACCTACTTCACCAACGGTACCACACTCGCCTGGGGGGACTGCCGCGGCACAAAACGCCTGGTCTTCCACGGAGGCCACGTCGCTCTCATGCTCCACCACTTGCACTAGGACGGCCTCCTCCGTCGCGCACTTTTCTTTGGTGTGGCCCCACCCCTCGCAGCATGCACACCACGGCATGAAGTCCTTCTCGTTGGCAGTGCAACCGATCGCTTGATGTCCACGACGTCCACACCTAAAGCACCGGCCCGGGAACTTATACTCCCCGCCACCGCCGCGATCGGCGCCTCCACTGCTGCTTCCCTTGCTCTCCTCGACTCCTCCGGATCCGCCTGAGCGTCCGCCGGACCGCCGCCGCCGCCGCCGCCGCCGCGACCGCCTCCGCCGCGGCCACGACTGCTGCTGAGGCCACGGCCGCCGCCACGACCACGACCTTGCCCCTGACTCCTACTTGAGTACCGCTCCCTGCGGCCCCCACCGTCGGCGAAGTACGCTTGCTCTGCGCCCTTCGCCCCTTTTTCTTTCNCTCCCCGCCACCGCCGCGATCGGCGCCTCCACTGCTGCTTCCCTTGCTCTCCTCGACTCCTCCGGATCCGCCTGAGCGTCCGCCGGACCGCCGCCGCCGCCGCCGCCGCCGCGACCGCCTCCGCCGCGGCCACGACTGCTGCTGAGGCCACGGCCGCCGCCACGACCACGACCTTGCCCCTGACTCCTACTTGAGTACCGCTCCCTGCGGCCCTCACCGTCGGCGAAGTACGCTTGCTCTGCGCCCTTCGCCCCTTTTCCTTTCCCCTGCTCCAGCTTGTCCTTGATCGCCTTGTATTCGATCATTACTTCCTTTAGCACACCGGTCCGCGTCAACTCCTTCGCGTGTCGCAGGTTGTGCTTTGTCATGGCAAACTCGTCCGAAAGGGCATCCAGGAAGAGGTGAAGGACGAACGTTTCGTTGACAGTTAGTCCATTCTCGGTTAAGGACTTTGCGGTTTGGAGCATCTCATAGGGCGTTTTGGGGGTTTTCACCTCGAGAGATCTTGGTCGACGTCAGGACTTGAGGTCCTCGGACGGCTGTACAGATAATTCAGGGTCGTGTATGGTCTTGAGCTCACGAAGAGCTCCCGGGGGCGTCTCTGCCCTCTTCATGATTTTCCGAACATTTTCTTTCAACGATTGAGACAGGAAGTTCCACGCGTGGAATGCGAGCTCTACTTGCTCGCTCCGGTACTGCTGTGACAGCGAAAACTTGCTCTTTCCGCTGTTGACGGGGATCTCCAAGCTCCCGCTCTCTTCAAATTGTTCCAACAGGTTTGCGCCATTAGCTGCCATGCGGAAATCATTTAGCCATTCGTTGAAATCTTTCGATTTCCCGCTGAACGGAGGAGAAGTGTACCGCACACGTTGGTACCCCGTCGCTGTGGTTGTGGCTCCGTATCCAAAGCCAACAGCAGCACCACCATCTCCCATGGCACTACGATAATCTTGGTTGTGAGCAGCGGCTACTCTCACCTCTTGGGGGACAAAGCCCCCTGCTTCGCCGCTGTGTCGCCCTGACCGGCCAGACTCTCGAACAGGTTCGCGCAGGTACCTCCCGCCTATTCGATATACTCGTAGCATAGCATGCGGGTGGTATATTGCGTATACATTTGCGGGTATTGCAGTGACGAACTACGGAGGAACAAGAATTTCTTTATGTTTTCCTTGGGAGTGTGGTAGATTGGTGGACATTCATGGAGATTCGTTTTGGGTGTTTGAGCGTTATGCGTGACTTGATGCCGTGATGGATTGACGAGCTCAAGCACGCCCCCGATGAATACAACACGTTTCCCAACACGTTTTTACCCATCCACGCCCCGTCATGGGCCACGCGCTCTAAACTCTAAGCACATACAACTGGGTCACCCGAATTATCGATCACGCTAGCCTATGACACGTCGTCTACGAGATTCGCGGTCGAGCTTGGTTTAGGAGTATCGCTTTGAGGCGATCGAGAGCAGGGTCAAGATGGCTTCCAGGCGCGAAGATGAAGCCCGCCAAGCAGCGGAGGCCCGCCAAGCAGCGGAGG